TCTTTCCCTCATGCCGCCTCATCCCCCAAGACCACTTTCCAGCCCCTGCTGGCCTGGGCTCCTCTTCCGCCTCCCCAGGCACCGTCCCTCCCTCCGACTGTTAGCCGGGAAGCTGGAGGTGCTAATCCCATGGCCCCCCATAAACCGCACAGCTGCTCAGGTGATGGCATTGAGTCCAGAGGAAATAGTGAGGCTTGGAGCCAAGAAGTCTGGGCTTTCTGAGTGCTCAGGGGCAAGGTCTGAGCAGTAAGCCCCCAGGTTTTCTTGGCGGGTGGAGAGTGAGCAGGGGTCCTGTGTCCCACAAAGCTGTGGGCAAGCAGGGTGGACTCCCTGAAGCCCAGGAGCACTGAGTCAGTGGAATTACCAGGCAGACATCTGTTCTCCCTGGCCCCTCCTGCAGGGCCACTGCATCACCGGTGTCAGGGCTGCCGACACGGCAGTCTATGGGGGCTGCCGTGACCCCAGACTGGGGCAGTGCACGGCCTGCCTCCGAGCGTGGTGGCCTGGTAGCCTCGTTCATGCTCACGGTCTGGGCAGCGAGTGTCTGTCAGCTTCAGGGCTATCTCCATAACCTCAGCTCATTGGCTGCTCTCCTCGTCACGCTGTGGGGGACCCCCAGAGAGGCTCAGAGAGGAGAAGCGCCACCTCCCATGTCACCCGGAGAGCAGGGCTGAGTGGGGGGCGTCTACATGCTGCTGTGTAGCCGTAGGCGAGCGGGATCAGCCCCCGCCCCCAGGCCTGCCGGGCCACGGCTCAGCCTGAGCCTGCAGCTGAGACTCACTTACGTTGCAGCGCTGGGGCCACGGTCTTAGAGAACCTGAAGTTGGAGCTGACGCGCGAGCACATGCCGGTGGTGTAGTAGGAGCTCCCGCACTCGTGAGACCACAGCGGGCTGCAGGCCTGGGGGTGCAGCACACGGCAGCGGGTCAGTGAGGCTGCGGCCAGGTCCTGCGGTCCGCCCGGCCTCCGTGACATCCTCCAGGAGCGGCCATCCCGGGGTGAGAGGGCTGCCCTGAGTCTCACCCTCTTGCTACACTGTGGGGTCTTCTCTGAGGCTACAGCAGGTACAGGAGTTCCCTTCCTCTCAGATGGAAGGTGAAAAACTGGTCTTGGGGTCCTCCTTCGTTGTTTTTCAAAGGCCCCATCCCCCATCCCATCATAAACAATGGGGGTGACTCTTCTTCACCCCACCTGCCCACTCACCCTCCACGCCAGGTCTGGGGAAGCCTTTTTATCCGTGGCAGGGACCCGTCTAAGGCCACTAGAACAGCCCTTGGGTAGGAGGAGGTCACCTGAATGTCCCTACTGAGCCCTCTCAGGACCGGGTCCCAATACCGGGCCATGGTGCCCACCAGGGGAAGAAGAAAGCAAGGCTCTGCCCTCCCTGTGACGTCTCCCACGGGAGCACGGACAGCAGCCCCTCGCTGAAGCCCGACTGAGCATTCCTCCCGGAGTCCCGGTCACTAAACACAAAAGCCCAGCTCCGTGCTGGTCCTGCTGTTAGGAATCTGGGCCAGAGTTTGTTCTGTAATCTCCTTTGGTTTAGGTGAGTAATTATTCCTCTCCCAAGCCCTTTCTTTAATTAGCTTCGGAGGAAAAATGGATCATAGATTATATTTTGTATGTATTATTTGCTGAAGCCACTGTCAGTGATTTCTGGAAGTCGGTGGGGAGTAGAGCGTGGGCAGGTGGATGGGGTGGGCAGAGATGATGCGTGGGCAGTGGGGCGACTGGTGGGTGTGTGCATGTCTGAAGGAGTGAATGGACAGGCGGGTGGATGAGCCATGGACGAGTGATGGTGGGAGAGTGAAGGATGGAGGCAGAAAGGGGCGGGTGGAAAGATGGCTGATTGGGTGGGAGGATGAGTGGGCAGATGGATGTGCAGACGTGCGCAGTGACTGGATGGATGGGAGAGAGGGTGACTGGTGGGGGAACGGACTGATGAGTGAATCAATGAGTGAGTTACAAAAGCTGCTCTTTATAGGGGTCAGCAGGTGGCATCGTGGTTAAGGCGCTGGACTCCCACACGGCACAGTGTGGTCTGAGTCCTGGACTTGGCAGCTTGCTTTCTCTCTCTCTCTCTCTCTGGTGAGCGCACATGCCCTATGTAGCAAACTAAAAAATTATAAAATAAGGGACCAGCAGATGGTGCAATTGTTACATCGTTGGAGTCTCACTGTGGTTTGAGTCCTGGACCCGAGGGCTTGAAATTCAACACCGTGCGTGTGCGTGCGTGCCCAAGATCCGGAGAGGAGAATGGAGGAGAAGGGATTGCAGCGTGGCCATCCCCCTGGGAGAGCGAATTCTTGCTTTCTATCTCTCTGTCTCTCTTTGTCTCTCCAGCAAGCACACATGCCCTATAGCAAAAAAGTCTGTCCAAAAAACCAAAAATAATACATAAAATTAAATAAATAATTGTTAAAATAACATGTTTTTTAAAAAGGTTGCTCATTATAAACCAGAGCCTCAACCTCTGCACAGAGGACCCAGAGGAGTGTCATAGCACCCCTCCCAGGCCTCCCACCGTGCGAAGTAGTGAGGTCGAGCCAGAGGGAATGTGACAGGAGACTTGGAAGGGTGAGGCGGGGAGGGGAAGTGCCTGGTGACCGTGTGTGCGGGTAGGACGGGGCTTCTGCGGGGCCGGCTGGGCCCAGAGGGGCTGTGGGCTGAGCATGCAGCAAGGCACCGCACGCCTTCCCCACAAGCTAGGCCCACTGTGCCCTCCAGGCCGGACACCCAGTCATCCTGCCCTGGCAGCTGGCGCCCCATGGCCCAGAGGGTTCGCCTGTCTGCAGAAATGGACCAGAAGCCAAAGAAAGAGCAACACAGCTCTCTCACCTACAAGGAGGGGCTTCTTGCTGGGTTCTGGGTCATTTTTCTCGGAAACCCTTTTTGCAGCCCTCTGGAGGAACTCTCAGTCCCAGGAGAGTCCTGTTCAGAGCCCCAGGCGTGACCCACACTTGTGGCAGTGACTCCCGCGGGGCGGCAGCTGGCCCTCCCTGGCCTACTGCGTGCAGAGCCTCCCATGCTGGCCTGGCGGGTGTGGGGCCTGAATGCCTGCTGCCGTCTTTCTGTCCCCAGCATCACGCTGTGTGTCACCCCTTGATTATTGCCCCCCGCCCCCCGACCAAAGCGTACTTTCTGGCAGGGAGGGGGGCTCTTCCCATTGCCGGGCCCAGTGCCGGGTCGGGCTGTGTATACTCGAGGTGCTCCAAACCGTCGTTTAAACGGATGGGTGTGTCTCCCCCCGGCCCGGACTCCCACTTCTCTTTCTTCCTCATGAGGGAGAAGGGGCTCTCTCTCATTTTTTGGGGGGTGGGAGGAGAGGAACCCCCACTCTTTTTTTTTTTTTTTTGAGAGATTTTCGCTATAGGGCGCGTGATCTTGACAGAGAGAGACATAGAGACAG